GCTTCTGTAAAGATTTACAGCCTTGGAAACACTTGGAACTACTATGGTAGGTCTTCTACTCTGCAATATAGGGTCACTATGAGTCAATCAACTTGACAGTAATGAGTTTGCTTTAGTTTATTAACTATCCTTTAAAGCAAGTAGTTACAGGGACTCAGTGGTTAAGCAGTGTGACTGCTAACCAAAATGTGAACAGTTCCAACTCACCAGCAGTTTCTTGGGAGAAAGATGTGACAGTCTGCTTTCATAAGTTCCTTAGGCAGCTCTAGACTCTGTCCTACAGAGTGACTGTAAGTAAGGATTAACTCAATGGCAACAGCTTTTTGGATTTATATTTAAATCAACTGGTTCTCACAACAAAACAATGAAACACATATTATCCTCATACTACAGAAGAAGCAACTGAAACTTCTACAGAATTCTAATAAGGTCTCATAGCTGGCAAGTGGCAGAGCTTAAAATTAAAAGTTCATGATGTTTTCAATGTTCATCTCTATTTTTTCCCAAAAGTTAACTTTCCACCACTTCACTTTTACAAAAGACCTACATCAGTATCTGTTTTCACTAACCAAAAGGAATCTGAAGATTTTATCTTTCCGAAATAGACAAAAACCGAAACTAGCATTCTGCATTCGCTTTGTTGTTGCTGCTGTTACGTGGCGTCAAGTAGGCACCGACTCATAGCAACCTTACACACAACAGAGCAAAACATGGCCAGGTCCTGTACCAACATCACCATCATCGCTATCCTTGAGCCCACTGCTGCTGCCACTGTGCCAATTCACATCGTTGAATCTTCCTCTTTTCACCTTCCCTCCACTTTACCAACCATGATTTCCTTCTCCAGGGACAGGTCCCTCCTGATAATAGGTCCAAAGTATGAGAGATTAAGTCTGGCTTCTAAGGAACATTCTGGTTGTATTATTTTCAATATAGATTTGTTTGTTCTTTTGGCAGTCCACAGTATTTTTAATATTCTCCTCAAACACCGTAACTCAAATGCATCAATTCTTCTATGGTCTCCCTTATTCATTGTCCAATTTTCACATGCATATGAGGCTACTGAAAATATCATGGCTTGGGTCACAGGTGCACCTTAGTCTTCAAACTGACATCTTTGCTCTTCAACACTTTAAAGAGGTCTTGTGCAGATTTGCTTAATGCAATATGTAACTTGATTTCTTGACTGCTTCTTTCATAGGTGTTGATGGTTGATCTGAGCAAAATGAAGTCTTTGACAACTTCAATCTTTTCTCCAATTATATGAATGTTGTTTATTGGTCCAGGGGTGAGGGTGTTTTGCATTCTTTACATTGAGATGCAACCCATACTGAAGGCTGTGGTCTTTGATCTTCATCAGTAAGTATTTAAGTCTTTCAACAAACAAGGTTGTATCAGCTGCATATCTTGAGTTGTTAGTGAGTCTTCCTCCAATCCTGATGGCCACATTCTTATTCATATAATTCAGCTTCTCAGATTATTTGCTTAGCATACAGAATTAATAAGTATGGTGAAAGAAAAGAACCCTAGTGCATGCCTTTCTTAATTTTAACCACTCAGTGTTTCGTTGCTCTACTTGAACTTGCTCTACGTACAGGTTCCTCATGAGCACAATTAAGTGTTCCAGAATACTCATTCTCCTCAATGTGTTGTCCATAGTTTGTCATAATCCACACAGTTGAAAGCCTTTGTGTAGTCAATCAATGAAGCACAGATAAACATATTTCTGATATTCTCTGCTTTTAGCTAAGATTCATTTTACGTCAGCAATCATATCCCTCATTCCACGTGCACATATGAATCTGGCTTGAACCTCTGGCAGATCCTTGTCAATGTATGGTTGCAGTCATTTTTATATATCATTTTAGCAAAATTTTACTTGCATGCAATATTAATGATATTGTCCGATGATTTCCTCATTCCCTTGAGTCACCGCTCTTAGGAATGGGCACAAATATGGGATATGTTCAGGGTCATATTTTGGCTCTTGGGGACTTGTCTTAACTTTTTTCAGCTTCAGTCTGAACTTGCATATGAGCATTGGTTTATTCTACAGTATGCCTCTGGCCTTGTTTTAACTAATGATATGGAGCTTTTCCACCATCTCTTTCCACAAATTTAGTCTTTATAATTTCTGTGTATTTCATCTGGTGAGATCCATGTGTATAGTTGTCACTTATGTTGTTTAAAAAAGGTATTTGCAATGAAGAAGTCATTAATCTAGCAAAATTCTATCATGTGATCCCCAGCATTGTTTCTATCACCAAGGTCATATTTTCCACCTACTGATCCTTCCTCTTTGTTTTCAACCTTTGCATTCCAATCACCAATAACTATCCTTCCTGGGTTTTTTTTCCAACTTTGCATTCAAATTGCCAGTAATCATCAATACAACTTGATTGCATTTTTTATCAATTTCTAACTGAAGAAGTTGGTAGAATTCTTCAATTTCATCATCACTGGCTTTAGTGGTTAGTGTGTAAATTTGAATAATGGTATTAACTGGTCTTCCTTGTAGGCTTAAGGAAATTATCCTGTCACAGTGTTGTACTTCAAGAGAGGTCTTAACATGATCTTTTTGATAAGTGTGACACCATTCCTCTTCAAGCAACGAGACTGGTGTTGCCAATCTTCTTTCCCGGGGACTACATTCAGCATCTCTGTATCAAGCTGCCATAACTCGGAAATGTATCTGTGAACACTATGCTACTGCTATTTTAGGTTATTTGGTAGGTTATTTTTTGGGTCTGGTAATGCTCAAAAATTTTTTCCCATATATATTAATGGTATAATTGCTTCTCTTTACTCCATTTTGATTTGTAAAAGGTTTCATAGGAACGCTCTAGTTTCGAATAGTGGGAGAAACCTGTACTATGCCTTCTGGACACCTGATTAAAGATAATGAGCCTAAGAGAGGTTATTTAACTTACCTAGTCACACAGCTTACAAGTGATGAAATTAAGAATCCAATGTTACAGCTATGATTAGATCTATCTCAAAGCTCTTTTCCATTACAATATATGCATCCCAGAATTCTATATTATAAATGATGCCTTGAAAGCAATAACGTCCCAGTCACCACTCAACAAGAATAGTTCTTGTCAGCATCTTAATTGCTTGCTAAGAGGCTACTATAGTTGGGACAGTTTACTAGTTACTAGGCTACAAAGGGATTTAACATGTAACTGGGAAAAAAGAGAAAGACAATCAGTACACGTAGGACAAATAAAATGATAGAGTGCTATATGGGAAATGACTAATGAATAGTATAGAAAGGAGTGCCACGGACTTTAGGACTTGAGTTGAGTCTTGAAGCAAAGAGAGGCCATATAAACAGGCAACTGAGTTAAAGAACAAATAGCCCAGCTTGGCTGTGAAAACGTTCGTATGTTAGAGGTGGGAAATCACTGGCTATGAAAATCAAGCTTAGGCTAGAAACTGGACTTAATGCTGCTGAATGTGAAGTGATCTGTTTCTGATGTCTATCCTTTCCTTACTTCCTCTGCCTCACTACTGTTGTGAGGCGTTGAGTGGATTCTGACTCATAGTGACAATATCATACAGGGCAGAATTGCCCCACAGGGGTTCCTAGGCTATAATCTTTATGGGAGCATACTGCCACGTCTTTTTTTTCCAAGAAACTGCTGGTGGGTTTAAACCGCTGACCTGGCTACCAGCCAAGCTCTTAACCACTGTGTCATTTTATTCCCCATTTTCACAGTATTTCTAATATAAGAGAACCATATCATGATGACTAGTACATAAAAAGGAATAAAAGAAAGATATGACACTTTTGAAGAAATAAAATAATTATAACTTAAGGATGAACTATATCATCTACAAACAGATATTGATGGCCTCGCCTCCAGGGCAGTGGGTCTTAACCCTAGCTGCACATTATAATCACCTGGGAAAATTTTTTAACAACAATCCACACCCAGGATCTCATGCTCAGAAATTCTTACTTACTAATAAGCTTCATGTAAGGAGCTCTGGTAGCTTAGTGGTTATGAATCAAGCTGCGAACTTCACGGTCAGCAATTCGAAACTACCAGCTGTTCTGAGGGAGAAAGATGAGGCTTTCTGCTCCGGTAAAAATTATAGCCTCGGAAACCCTATACAGGGTCGCTATGAGTCGGAACCGACTCCACGGCACATCACAACAAAAACAACAAGCTTCATATATCATTCAAATTGTGGTTATTTCATCATTTTTAATCAACAAAAATAAGAATTTCTTTTAGTTTAAATTAACTGTTGAATGGATGGGGAGAGAGAGCCGGGAATTTTTTTTAATTCTCCAGGTGGTTCTAATATGAAGCCAGGGTCCAAAACCACTGCAATGAATGAAGGTCAAGGGAAAACTCAAAGCATCTTTCTCTATAACTCTCCTCTTCTCCCTACAGCCCCGACCACAGATGGCAATCATCTACCTCCATAGAGGAGGAGACTACTCAGGTTTAAGGATTTTTCACTGGTCACTGGGCAAAGTTAAAGTTGGAAGTTCCGGTAAGAAAGGGAATTATTCCTTCAATAATTGTTCCTATTTTGGACACTCAAATAAGATAAGATCCACAACTTGTGAATGATTTTGGGACGCACAAAAATGAAGCAAACTTTTGTGGCCTGTCTTTATTTTGGACTACTTAGACCAGGCAAGGGAGCTCTCTGTAGAGTCCTTCCTAACCTACATTGTGTTAAGGCTTGGGGACAAAGTCCTAACAATCAATTAAGTAATTATTAGTTTCACTCAGTTCTGCACATACATTTCCAGTGAAAACCATATGAGATGTGGTGATTGATGAAAGGATCTGGGTATCTGGGCACCACAGGTATGTTCAAACTCTCCTGATTATACTGACATAGATTGTAAGCACATTATACAGTAACGTACTTCATGCTTTTCCATAATCATTGAGAGAAAATCCAGGTGGACTAAAGAGAGTCCAGAGATCTGCAAGCACACTAAGTCAAGCAAAAAATCATGGCAAGGTTCTCACCTCCAGCTGCCGAATTGCTGTTTCTCTTTCTTTAATAAGTTCCAAATCCTGCTCAGTGATGGCTACTTCATCCTCCTGGCTTTGCATCTGGTTCCAGTCTTCATGGCTGCAGGGAGACAAAGCACACTAGTTGAATCTTCTTCCCCAAGATGTGCACAAAACATGCCTACAATAAATAGGTCTCTACTGCCAGTCAAGCCAGCCAAAAAGAGTTATCAGGGCTCCAACTCTTCTGGCATCAATACATAGTCCTTGCTGGCCATGTTCTTTATATCCAGAGGCAAACAGTTGGTAATAACCAGAAAATAAAGCCTTGGCTTCCATGGGAAAACTGAGATTAAGCAGGATTATGAGGGATAATGTTTCCATTTATGTTATCCTCTGCAATCTTGCTAGGGCAAGCTAGACCAGGAAATAGCCAGGCATTTAAAGTCAATGAAGTATATGAACCCATCCTCTTCTGGGTATTCTCAAAGTACAGGCTTGCTGGTATCCTGGACCAAATGGATGGAGGAAACCAAGTTCAATGACCTATCAGTTCTTTGCCAATTCACCGAGATCACAACTGGTTTTCAGCCTTTCCTTGTGAAGCTTTACTTTGAGTCAAAGGCCTCTTAACAAAACAAAACAGAAAAAGGAAAAAGCTAGTGAAATATTATAATTCTTCTTTTTCAAGTATCATGTTTAAAAGACAGGTATAATATATTACACTAAATGTGAAACACTTTAAAAATCCAGTATTAACTTTTTTTTCCCAACAGTATGTGTAAGTTATACTTATCACTACAGTATTTGAAGAATGTCCTCCATGTGCTAAGTAAGTTGTTGTTAGGTGCCGTTGAGTCAATTCCGACTCAGAGCAACCCTGTACAGGGTCTCCAAGGAGCAGCTGGTGGATTTGAACTGCTGACCTTGTGGTTAGCAGTCCATTGCTTACCCTACAATACACCACAGCACCCCAGGCCTTTGGGATACTCTTAGTGGTTTAGTTTCTTTTGGGGGGGGAAGGGAGGATAGAGACATATTTATGATAAAAACCTTTTTCAGTTCTAAACTAACATCAGGAATATATTTCTATGGAATTAGTTAATTCAGCTTGGAGAAGTTAAGAAAGGAAACATCTTTCAGATACAAACTGCTTTTCCTCTTAACACTCTTAGAAGGATGAGTTGCCCCACTTTATAGAGATGAATAAACAGAGGTCCAAGCACTATGAGTACCCTACATTGGCATTAGGTACAATGTTTAGCCCTCCTAATCTACTGACTTACGGATTTTTACTTATCCTAGTGAGCTCATGGACATTAGCAGCTTCTTAGAAATTTTTTATTCACTATGAAATTACTCTTTCCATAATGCCGAGATCTCGTAAAAGGCCATGGTTTTTACTTTGTAAAATCCCCTGCCCCAAGTATCCCTTTATTTTGCTCTCTTTCTCTCTTTTTCCCCTCATTGATTTTTAAAATTTAAAAACAAGTATAGATACAAAATCCCATCTCAACTATCCAGCAGGTTATATGAATAATTTCTTTACCTGTCAAATGAGACCAGCTGTTCTTCTCTTTGCCTCTCCTCTGCCTAGAAAACAGATGGCATTATTCCTACTGTTATACAGACCCATGGCATAGACATAAAACAAAGACTTGCCCTTAGCTATGGTACAGAGAAATGACATCCTCAGCTCTGACAGGTCTATAAAATGACACAAGGCTTTAGAAACCTGTTTCTGCTAGAAAATGGGTCTGAAGTGGTTAAAGGCAAATCTGCATCCCAGTTTAGGACCAGAATAGAAACCACACTGAACTGGATGGAGAGAACATGGTTAGGAAAGAGAGTTAATAATAATAATCTATTTAAAAACTGGGGGGAAACAGATTAAAGAAAAGGGGTAAAAATTTGCAAGGAAACAAATGTTAAGAATATGCAAAGATTTCAAAAATTAGTCTAATGCATATATTCCTTTTGTAACTTGAAAGCAAATTTTTAAAAAGAAAAAGCATTTAAAAGACCAATAATTTTTCATTACAGAAAAAAAAGCAAAACACAATCTTTCCTTTTTATAATAGTGGTAACTAAAGGGTAAGTAAAATAAAGAAAATGAATTCTTCCCACTCAGAGGAAACAGTTTTCAAATTTTGACTTTCACATTTTCCCCACATGAAGAAATAGAACACTATTAATGTTGCAGAAACCCACCCATGTGCCCTTTTCCAATCACAACTGTATCCCTCACCCTTAATGACATTATCATTTCCTTGCTTTTTAAAAATAGCAATATACATCCTTGCTCAGTATAGGTTTGCTTGCTCCTATCCCTGAGCTTTACATAAATGGAATCATACTGCTTGTTTTATTTTGAGCTTTGTTCTGATTTATTCTGAGCTTTGGTTGCTCCACATTTTGCCAGATTGATCCCTGACACTAAATATAACTGGAATTGGCTGATTTTCTTTGCTGTATAATGTTATAGTGTATGAGCATTCCACAGTGTTTCATCCATGCTGTTAACAGACATTTGTATATTTCTAATTTTTTGCCTATTATGAATATTGCCCTGGTTTACATATTTAGAGGTTGGGCTAGGGTACAGTTGCTGGCTCCTAAGGTGTAAGAGGAAGCTTCCAAAAGTTCGTAAAAACTTCCACTGATCTTTCAGTTCCATCTTCATTTTCCCACAAACTTTTTCAAGCCCTTCTCATACATGTGTCCTAAAGATACAACCAGAATGTATTTCTAAGTGTTGGGCCAATTTATATTACCACCAACTAGATAGAAGAGTTCCTGCTGCATCATAAACACAACAAACCACCCTCAGTGTTCACATTTTAAAGGTTTTGCCAGTCTTGTAGATGTGAAATAGTAGTGCGTTGTGATCTTGTTTTGCAATTCCATGACTACAGAGAAGTTAAGCACCTTTTCCATTTGTTTGATTGCTCTTCATTAAGATGTTATTTATTTTTTTCCTCTGTTGACATTTTCCTCTTTAGGGCAAAAACAATAATAGTGCCTTCCCATGAATCAAGACAACTACACTGGTTGTCACTGTAATTGTTATTGAAACATAATCACAGTAAAAACTAAACAAAAGCTAGGCTGTCCTAGATAAAGCCATACAAATTATTGCCTAAATCTTAATTTCTAGGTATATTCTTTAAAATATTTTCTATGATGAAGTGGGAAGTATACATAAAACACTTTGGCTACCTAATGAAGTACAACGGTTATCTCAAGGAAAAACACTCGTGTTATTGAGTTTGTAAAAAAATTAGCCACTTTTTTAAGGACATCACCTTTACTTATAAGAATGAGTGACAATCTAAGGTTATTCACATGTATACTTGGCAGATCATTTTTAAAAATAGACAATGTGAGTGTGTCGTTTAAAGGAAAACAACTAATAGTATTTACTGCTAATAACAAAAGTATAGTTTTGAACTAAATTTAGAATTTTGGAAAATTCAACCCTTCCATGGTAAACACAGTTTTCAATATTTAAAGACTTTTCTGATGAAAATTATTGTAATACTATCATATGTGGTTTAAAAAATATTATACAGTGATATATATCAACATTTGGAAGACCAAATATTTTAAAGAGAACTAATACTTTCAAAATGATAAATACATGATGTTACAAAATCATGAATGGATAAAAATCCCATCAAAGTATAAGACAACGCAATCCATTTTAATGTAAGGGAATAAAAATTTCATTAATATGGCTTTAGACTCTACAATGCAACTAACTTCAATTTTGATGTAGTATCATAGAAAAATATTAACAATGACCTGAAAAAATTATTAAAATACTCACCTTGTCAACTACGTAAGTCTGTGAAGCTAGATTTTCTTTAAACCAAAACAACATACAACAAAAGACTGAATCCAGAAACATATAAGAAAATCTAGCTGTCATCAAGAGATTTACAAAAATATAAATCAATGCCACTGTTTCCAATTTTTAAAAAGATTGGGGGGGATTTTTTATTTTAAATGTTTTTATTTATGCTAATTTATCATGGATATATTAGTATTTTTAAATTAATGAACATTAAAATTTTCATTTAAATTCCTAATACAATAAATATTAATAGATATAATCTATATAAACAAATGAGTCCTGGTGTGGCATTGTAGTTTAATGAGCTGGACTGTAAAGTCTATTTGATCTGCAAGGGTGGCAGTTTCAGCTCACCAGCCACTCCTCGGAAACCCTATTCAGGGTCACTATGGATAGATTGCTTTTTAATGTGCTGAAGAGCAAAGATGTCAGCTTGAAGACTAAGTTGCGCCTGACTTAAGCCATGGTATTTTCAATAACCTCATATGCATGTGAAAGCTGGACAGTAAATAAGCAAGACTATAGAAGAATTGATGATGCATTTGAGTTATGGTGTTGGAGGAGAATATTGAAAGTGCCATGGGCTGCCAGAAGAACCAATAGATCCATTTTGGAAGAAGTGCAGCCAGAGTGCTCCTTGGAGGCCAAGATGGCCAAACTTCGTATCTCATACTTCGGACATACTGTCAGGAGGGACCAGTCCTGGAGAAGGGTATCATGTTTGGTAAGATGGAGGAGGGTCAGAGAAAAAGAGGAAGACCCCCAACGAGATGGATTGGCCAAGTGGCAGCATCAATGGACTCAAGCGTGGCAACAGTTTTGAGGCTGGCCCACGATCGGGTAGTGTTTCGTTCTGCTGTGCATAAGGTCGCTATGGGTCGGTCAGTACTGACTCGATGGCACCTAACAACAACATAGATAGGAACTGACTCAGCAGCACTTAACAACAACATATAAACAAAAACTCATTGAGCTCCTTAATAATTTTTAAGAGTATAATGGTAGTCTGAGATAAAGAAGTTTCAGAACTGCCATCCTATTGGATTGTGTCTTTTCCATATTGTTCATGGGAATTCTTTGTATATTCTAGATACTAGTCCTTTGCTATTTAGACATATAGTAATATCTTTCCACTGTTTGTGGCTTGTCTTTTCATATATTTACCACTTTCATTGCTCTTCATTACTTTCTGCACCTCAGACATTCCATCTAGATTTACTGTCCTTCTGTATTAAGTATATCCTTTAGGATGTTTTAGTTAAGGTACAATGATAGCAAACTCTTTTCTGATTGAAAATGTCTTTAATTAGCCTTCATTCTGAACATAGTCAACCTCTGGAGGGGGTTTTGAAAGCTGACCTTCTCTGCAGTTGAAATTCACATATTATTTATTTACAGCTGACCCTTAAATAACACTGTTTTGAACTATGTAGGCCTACTTATACTGGGATTTTTTTCTACCTATTGCTGCTATGATGAGCTCAGGTGTTGAGAGTATCTACCTGAAACGCTGTGTGACACTTATTATCTCTGTGTGAGCTGTTCTCTCTCATGAACTCACAATAATTGAGTTCACCATAGTAGCAACAGGAAAACAAATCCATGTTTAAGTGGGCTCATGCAGCACAAACCTGAGCTGTTCAAGAGTCAAGAGTATGTTTTCTCTGGGTTTAGAATGCCAGATTGGTGTTACTCTCCTTCTAAAACTAAAGCTATCACCTCATTGGTTACCATAATTGCTATTGATAGTCAATCTTTGAAGGCATTCTACTGTTTCTACAGCTATTTTAAAGTTTTTTCTTGTTGTCTTTGATGTTCTAAAATTTCTCTATGATGAATCTAGATGAATGTTTCTTTTTATCTATTCAGTTTGGGATTTATTAGATTTTTTGAAACTATGAATTAGCAACTTTCATCAGTTCTGGAATATTATCTGCTATTATCTCTTAAAATATCACTTCTTTCATATTTTCATTACTCTAGCTCTAATCAAAGCTATATTAGATCCTTTTATTTCATTCTTGATCTCTCATAAGCTTTCTTCCATATTTAGCCTCTTAATCCCCTATGTTACATGCTGAATATATCTTCTAATCTACTTTCTAGCTAAATCATATATCCATTACATTTTTAATTTCCGTATTATATTTTTCATTTCTAGAAGTTCTTTTTACTCTTTCCTCCTGTTTCCTGCTAATTTTGTTAAGGTTTCCTTTTATTTCTTTAAATACGATAAACATAGCTGTCTTATAATTTTCAGTCATAAAGCAACCTCTTTTCAAGGTGAGGGAAAGGCTTTAGTCTTACTCAAAACATAACAAGTAAGGGTCCAAGTTGAGAAGTACCTTCGTTTAGACCCCACACTTTGCATGGTCGAGGGCTTTAACTTTTGTCCTTCTCATGAGTACATCAAAACTGATATTCAAGTTCACCCTCAGTAAATGTACTCAGTAGAAAAATAATCAGTGCTCTGCTTATCTATCTTCTCACCTTCTCTTAGGTTTTGATCTTACTATTTGTATGACCAATGTAACAATGAAAAAGAAAACCACAGATAGTTGTACTTGTCATAGTTTTTAACCTTTGTGCATATATCTTTCCAGTCCTTGACCAGATGTATTCAGAATTTTATAAAGATTATATCAATCCACCATTTTCACAGGAGCTGATGTATATGTTTGGTGTGATAATAAAAGGCTATTGGAAAAGAGAAAAAGAAATAAAAACCTAGGAAAGTGTATCCTGAAATTACAAGGGTCTCCCCCACCCCCACAAAGGGAAATAAACTTACAGATAGGCGAGATCCAGCTCTGGCTCTGGCAATACTCTCCTTTTCCTTTTCAGATACCTTTCTCTGCACAACCTGGAAACTGTTTAAGGCTGCAGAGAAGTCATTCATGAGGCGTTCCTTCTGAAGTTTCTGCTGGCGCTAAGGACATGAAACAAGACTTAAAATTTCACGTTAACCCAGAATCCTTGAGTTTTAATTTCCATTAAATACAAAACTCTGCCTCCTAAAGAGCTCCAACTAGAAAAATCACTATGAAATATGTTCTTCCTTAAATCAATAAATCTGCTCTTTGCTAGCTCTAATTCCTGGTTAATACTGGTGTAGCGCTGTGGTTTAATGCACTGGATCACAAGGTCAGTGTGAAATGCAAAGTCGCAGTTCAAGTTTACCAGCCACTCCTCGGAAACCCTATATTGGGTCACTATGAGTTGGAACCGACTCAGCAGCACTCAACAACAACAGCTGCAGGTAAACCAGCATTTTTCCTCTTTCATTCGGACAAACCTGGAAACTGGTATTATTTACCTTGTAAGGTAATCAAAGAGGACATTAATTCAAGAGTGGTTACCTTGAGACTCTAAAAACAAAATAAATACATTGGAGCTCAGGTTAAACCCAAATAAAGATTGATTTTCTCTAAAACACTGAAACTGTACTCATTTATATTGAATTCATAGCTTCCTTGAAAACCACAGAATCATGTTTTCTTCTTCAGTATAGTGAGGTTTTAAATCTTTGAGAACCTCAAAATTATTTTGAATATCTACATGTTACTCTGCATCTAAAGGCTTGCTGCTTTTAAATCTCAACAACTATTAGGTGCTGTGTGTTGAGAACACAGACATGAAAACTCATCCCTGACCTAAAATAATATATCATCTATGTGTTAGATAAAGGATATAGATTTACAAGTAAGAAAATCATTATCAATAATTGCCTTATCTAATTAGTACTTTAGAGGCACAGAGGCAAGAATAATCTGTAATAATCTATAAGTAGTCAAGAAAGGAGCCAAGAAGGGGTAGACACTGAAGGAAGAATAAGGCATGAAGTAAGCAGAGAGAAGGAGTAAGGAAAATCCAAGCAAGAGTTGAGTATGAGCAAATGTATGGTGGTAGAAATCTGAAGTATAAATAAAGCAAGACAGTTTGATTGGATCCAAAGGTTTATTCATGTGAGTAAAATTAGAAATTATTCAAGAGAGGAAAGTAAAAGATAAAACTGAAAAGGCACGGAAGGAGACAACCACAGCAGGTTTTAAATGCCATGCTAATGAATTTGAGATTCAACCTTTAAAGAACAAGGAAAAGAAAACATGATGGATACAAAATGATAACTTAGAATGATTTATCTGTGACAATGTACATGATAGAATGAAAAAAGAAACAAGTCAAAAAGACTGCTGCAGTAGTCTAGGATTAAAGTTAGGAGGATACTCTATTGGTAATGGAACACAAGGAAATGAATTTAAGAAGCATTACAACTTAGTTACGAGCTTTGGAAGATGGGGATAAAGTCAAGAATAACTCAAGTTTCAAGCCTAGAAGAATGATGGTCATTTAGTAAGCAAATTTAGATTAAGAGTCTTTCATTTTCCTGGGATTCTTTTAACATTTTATTGTGACTTGGATGAAGGTTTACAGAGAAAACCAATTTTCCATTCAGCAATTCATACACATTTTCTTCATGAGACTTTCATGTGTTGCGTAAACAACACTATGACAATAATAAAGGAGGGAAAAGAGAGTTTCCAATTTCACCGTGAAAAATACTTTTTAGTATATCACAAACATTTTCCATGTTACCATTCTTTCCAAATTATGACCTTTACCTATTACATAGTATTCCATCAAAGGAGCTTTGGTGGTAATGTGGGTTAAGTATTGGGCTGCTAACTTCAAAGTTGGAGGTTCAAACCCACCAGCAGGTGCATGGGAGAAAGATGAGGCAGTCTGCTTGCATAAAAATTTACAGCCCGGAAAACCCTAAGCAACAGTACTACTCTGTCCTAGTGTTGCTAAGAGTTGGAATCCACCTGATGACAGTGTGATAATAATGATGTAAATAATCTCAGTTTTTAACTATTATAAATAAAGCTAAGGTGGCCCCATTGTAATAGCTAACAGTTGCATAAGGCTTATAATGTAGAAGTATTGTTATATTCACTTTATGGAATAACTCATTTAATCAGGTTATACTAGTCCATATTTTACAGATAAGAAAACCAAGGACCCAGAGGCTAGCTCATTTTCCCAGGGTCATAGAGATAAGTGACAAAAGTAGAATTTAAACCCAGAATGCATATAGTTTGTATGTGTGTTTATCTGAATTTTTTTTTTTCCTTAGGATAAATTTGTATGAATGAAAATATTCAGTCAAAAAGCACAAACTTTTTTTTTTAATGACAAATATAAGCAATTCTTTTAGTTAAAGGGTTTGAGTAAAAGATGAGGAACTCAGTAAGGCAACACATTAAATTTCTGATGAAGGTGATATATTTAAGAGGAGATGTTAGAACAGGAGCTGACAACTGGGGTCAAGTGCTGAGGGACTTAGGGAATAGAGCTGGGAAAAAATTTGGGAGTTATGCTCCTATAATGACAGGGAGCTTATGAAAGTGGGTAAGATTACTGAGGGGAAAAACTGCAGAATGAGAAAATTAGAGGACCAATGGCTGAACGTAGGGGTCTGCTCACTTTTAGGGGCTGAAACTCAACCTGAAATGAGAGAAAAATAGGCCAGCAAGGGAACATCAAAGATGGGGGCCAGGACAAAAGGGAATCACAGAAAGAGAAAGTTAGTTTTCATGGAGACAGAATGGGCAAGAGGATCAAATGAAACAGAAGAAAAGTGAATAAAAACATTACATTTGCAGGTACTGAATATAGAATATATTGCAAGTGAGAGTTTGCAGAGTTTGATGTAGGGAAAAGCTGGGTAATGAAGTTACAATTATTTAGATGAAGAAAAGTGAGAGGGAAAATGGTATTCACAATAGGTAGAAGAAAATCAAGGAGAAACTATACTTGGAGATCTATTTTGTGTTCTTAATGATCCAAGCTAACGGAAGGGAACAATAGCATGCATAATCCAAAAATAACTTCTATTTAGTTTTGGAATACATCAGATACATTTTTCTATGTATCAAATTTAACTTTCTATTTATATTTTGCTTAGACTACTATTTACCTAAGTACTTTCAATACTGCATTAAACCCTTAGACTCCTTTTTTTAATTACTATTAAAATTACCTACAAGTGTGTATTCCCTGAGTGTAGTTGGGGAGAGGAAAAGGAAAATTCAGGAATACTATGATTAGAAACCCTATTCAGGTCACTATGGGTCGGAACCGACTCAACAGCACTTAACAATAACAACAACAATGATGATCTAGGAGTCCTGGTGTGGTGCTGTGGGTTAATGCACTGGACTGCAATGTCAGTTTGAACCCGAAGGTCGGTGGTAAGCTACTCCTCAGAAACTCTGTGCAGGGTTGCTATGAGTCAGAACCAACTCGATGGCACTTAACAACAACAACGATGATGATTTGAGGAGTCCTGGTGCAGCACTGTAGGTTAATGCACTGGACTAAAAGGTCATTTGAACCACAAGGTCAGCAGTTCAAGTTCACCAGCCGTTCTTCAGAAACCCTATACAGGGTCACTATGAGTTGGAGTTGACTCGAAGGCATTTAACAACAACTACAACAATAAGATGATACGGGATAGCAGGGGGGAACTGGCCTATAATTGAAATACAAGCGTAAGGAGCTCTGGTAGCGTAGTGGTTACGAATCGGGCTGCGAACCTTAAGGTCAGCAGTTCGAAACTACCAGCCGCTCCGCGGGAGAAAGATGAGGCTTTCTACTCCCGTAAGGATTTACACCCTCGGAAACCCTGTACAGGGTCGCTATGGGTCGGAACCGACTCGACGGCACTTAACAACAACAACAACAAGATGATACGGGATAGCAGGGGGGAACTGGCCTATAATTGAAATACAAGCGTAAGTAACAACTAAAACAAAGAGTCCGCATGTGATAATGGAAGGATGATTACATGAAGATTACTTTTTAATCATAACTAGTTTTAAGGAGAGGAACCCTGGTAGTCTGGGCTGCTAACCTCAAGGTCAGTACTTCAAGTCCACCAGGCCTACCATGGGAGAAAGGTAAGGCTTTCTGCCCCTGTAAAAATTTACAGCCTTGGAAACCCTACACAGAATCAACTCCTGGGCACATCACCACCACTGTGTAGCAGGATGAAAAAGCATTAGTTGTATTCATTCTTCCTAGAATTCAGAAGCTCTTTGTTCCTACTTTTTGTATAAAGGAGCACCAAAGCTCCAATGACTGAATGTATGCTAATCAGCAGCTTTCCAGGTATGGGTTAAACTAGTATGTTTCAAATTTTTTGGCATCATGACCTAGGACTACACATAAATGTACATATTTATGAAACAAAAGTTTTATGTAACAGTATTTTCCCTGATTACATGCTACACACTCTGATATTTTTATTTCTACTGTATTTCAGTTTTTTTGAATGTGGATCGTAACACATAAAATGATTTCATGTTCCAATGTGTCACAATCCACAACTTGCATGATAATTCAAGAGAGGGACATTGTAGGTTTCATCTTCAGCGCCATTAAGAGAAAAAGAACATTATTGTTAAAAAAAAAAAAAAATTCAGTAGTAAAAACCAATGTAAGTTAAGTGATTCAAGAATAGTATAGAAGCTAAAAGTAAAATGTAATCAGAACAGGTTAAGGTAGATGGGATGGATTTTTCCCAGGAAAAAGCAAGGATTTAAAATAGACCATAAACAATAGGTAAATGAGACAAGCCACAATAAAGGAGAGGGCATGTCTGACTTCAGGAGTAGTGTGAAGAAGAAAAGGTCTTCTGGCACATTAAAAGAAGAAAAAATTCCAGTAGGAATTGTGTTTTTAAAGGATTCAAATGTTCAATGAATAAAATGATTTGAAAAGAGAATTTTTTCCCCTCAGCATTTCTTCAATTTGAGACCTCTGAAGAGGTAAGAGGTCAGGAGATGGGATATGCCTGTGACTGTCAAATATAAAAGAAAGATCTGTGACTGAGATTCACAGCTATTGGTCCAAGCCTATAAACTAAGACCAAGCCTGCAAACTTAAAGCTATTAGCCACACCTCAATGAGATGCAGTTAAACCCATTTATTAATATATTAATAATGTGATGTTATTAATAACAGCAGCAGCCACCATATATTAAGCATCTGCTAAATACCAGGCAATTTGCTAGATATGGTACATACATTCTATTATAACCACAGTCACATAATCTGTATTTCAGAGAGATCTATTTAGCACCAAAGGCCAAATTATTTCTATTCCACACACGATCTTTCCAAAGCCCTATCCTATTAAAAAACAAAACATAGAAAATACCAACCTGTTCTGAAGTAGATAAGGGAAGGGGCAAGGACCCTAACTCCTTCAGCAATTCATTTGTTTCCTTGGCAAGCTGATTTGTAGAGTGTTGTAACTGTTGTCTATGAAAGAAAGGACATATTTCAGGATAGTTACACTTCTTGAGAGCTGTTTAGAGTCTGCATTGGTTTGTTCTCAGAGTGTCTCACAAAACAAGAAATGAATAGGTATTTGAAGACCTAAATGCTCAGGTTCACAACAAAATAATACCCATTCAAACCCACTTTCAAGGCATCTTCACATTACAAAATAGAAGGAACCTGCCTTAATAAAACTTGCTGAAGGAAGAACAGATCAGGAATTTTAACTCTTTGGGAAGGAAAGTGTTATCAGTAGTTCCAATAGAAATAAAAGAAGAGTAATTGCAACCCACACTTAAACCTAAAAGTTTTAACACAAAACTCTCACACTGAATTGCCCAGGAATTCTTCATGGTCTTTGTCACAATTCACACCTTGGAGATACAATCCAGGCACAGGTAGATGGGTGAAATGTGCATTAAACACATGGTTTCCTACCCTTGGGAACAACCTCCAAAGATCTACTCCCAGTCTTGCTTACAGCTAGTTCTTTTTCAGCTTTATCCCTGGCTCTCTACCTGTCCTTTATGGTTGACTTTCTGGCTCTTCCCTCTAAAACAAAGAAGCTGTATATTGTTTAAAATATATAAGTAGGGAGGGAAGGACAATAAAGAGGGAAGAATATGTAATGTGTTAAGTAGAATTAGAGAGTAGTAGAAACATAAAAAGAGCTCCTTTCATTCATGTTTTCCTCTTCTCTGGCCAATTCTATAACGCTTTTAAGGGAAAACAGAGACACCATGCCACATTTTTTTTTTTTTTAATAATTAAATGTTTTTATTTTGGATTGAGTGAAAGTTTACAGGGCACATCATCAGCTTCACATTCAACCATTCATATAGCTTGTTTCATTATAGTGATTATTATCCCCTCCATATATCATCAGTTAACAGTGTTTCACTCTATCCTCTTCAGCTTTTTTTTTTTGGATTGTGGGGGGAGGACTTGCCTTTTTGGAATTTACAGTCTCGGCTTTTAGGGAAGGTTTTTACATTTGTCTGTGGATATCCAGGGCTCATGTATGAGATTACTAACAAGCATTACTGAATAATCAGATGAGGGACAGTTTGCTATGTCTACTGGGTAGCTAAAGTCTGATCCTCAGCCTATGGTTTGGACGGTCAACAACGCTTGGGCCCACAGGGGCTTGACCTCCTGACCGGATCTGCATGGTCTGCATCAGATTCCTCCTTATTTATTGTTTGTTTAAGGGATGCTGCCTGTCTTAGGCGGTCAGTGCGAATACCTCAGTCTTACCAGTCATTGAAACTCACTGCAGCATGGCAATGGCTCTGTCTTAAGTTGCCGAGGTTCCACGTGATCCTTACCCGTCTCTGGCCACACGTCCAGCATAAACAGCCGCCATCCGAGGAAGGCAGGGAGGGAGGAGATTGGCTGGGGACCCCATACGCAAGATGTTGCCAGCCCACCACCTGCTCTAAGGTGACCAAGCAGGATCACTATGCTGAGGTTCAATCAAGTTCTTAGGGGATCTTACTCTCTAGCAGGGGTAGCAAATTAGTAGCCACTCAGTGCTCACTTTGAGAATTACTTATATCATAAAGTTGAGCATGTAGTTGATGAATATCCACAGACAAGTGTATATTGTTCCACAACCTCCTAAAATGCTGTTGGATTAAGTTCCAATCAAGTTCTGGATTACTGACCATGCCACATATTGCTAATGTCTCTTTTATTGAAATGGGCTTTCAGGAATTAACCAAGAGACTGAACATCTCAGACAGTACTCAAAGTCTCTATCATATTTCACATCTCCCTGGGAAAATCTCAAGTCATTCTCTTACTTCATGTCTGAGACAGAAAACAAAGAAAATTGTTCAGTATATTTTAGAGATGAAGAAAAGAACTTCTAGAAGCAGAAATGGAGTCAGAGAGATGTAATAAAAAGAATCAGGAGTCTCTATCACGAGTCTATTATTCTTTCCCCTCAAGTTCTCCTTGGGTCATTCTAAATAAAATTTTCTAATATTACATATTCCTTCATAGACTAGACAGGATCCACAGATTATCAGAAGCCCTATGTCAACAAGAAGGCTCATTTGGGAAGAATCATGGGCAGAAGAGTATAGTAGGGGTTCCTTTCTTAACTTACTAGATTGTTCTGCTAAAGTACCCAAGGGAAGAAAGCACCAGAGCTAAAGGATTTTGTCAGTCAGTAGAGATCACTAATACATTGTGTTGCCCCTCCATCTATATCCAGCTACTACCTCATGTCCCACTGCTTCTCATTCTGACATTATGCAAACTTGACACCTAAGCTGCCATAGTCACAGCATTAAGTGTGTCCTCAAAGGAGCCTTACAAAACCCAACCTGTTGTTAGTAAGCTACTCACAGATTTTCCTGTAGTTTGCTTGAGTCCTGTTTAGTTCCTAGTTGGCTCATCAAATTCTTTATCTGAGCAGCTGGGGAGAGGAGGAAAACAAGATTTCTTTTAAAAGCTAGAACATTCATCATGAGTATCCTACTTCTGAGATCACCTGCTTCCTCCACATCCTGAGTAAATACATGCAAGAAATAGAAAGGTTGCTATGATCAAAACCTTGGCAAATACACTGCTCCTATTGAGGCGTTCTGCTCCCGTAAGGATTTACAGCCTCAGACACCCTGGGCAGGGTCACTGTGAGTCGGAACCAACTCCACGGCACTTAACAACAACAAGTACATTATCTTATTTTCTCCTACAACTAATTATAAAGTTCACCTTTCTTCTATAGAGGGATGATGTCACAAAGCAGAGGTTTGTTTGTTTTAATCACCTCCAAGGAGCTCTGGTAGCGTAGTGGTTACGAATCGGGCTGCGAACCTTAAGGTCAGCGGTTCGAAACTACCAGCCGCTCCGCGGGAGAAAGATGAGGCTTTCTACTCCCGTAAAGATTTACACCCTCGGAAACCCTGTACAGGGTCGCTATGGGTCGGACCCGACTCGATGGCACTTAACAACAACAAAACAACAAGGAGCTCTGGTAGCGTAGTGGTTATGACTTGGGCTGCGAACCTCAAGGTCAGCAGTTTGAAACTACCAGCTGTTCCGTGGGAAAAAGATGAGGCTTTCTGCTCCTGTAAAGATTTACAGCCTCGGAAACCCTGTACAGGGTCACTATGAGTCGGAAGCGACTCCACGGCACATAACAACAACAACAAAGACTCATTAATTTCCCCACATCTCTCATTAGCTAAAAATTAGATTATCTTTTAAAGAGCCTTGATACCATATATCAATTAGCAATAATACTACACTTAAATTCACTAACACAAATTTTTTTCTGCAGCAGACATTTTTTAGAAAAGCAATTATATTTATTACTATTATTAATAGGTTACCATTTTTTGAGCACCTCTATGTGTCAGGCATTCCACTACAAATTTTGTATACATTATCTTACTAATTTTCACAGCAAACTCAGAAATAAATACATCTTCATTTTGCAGACAAAGAAATACACTTGGAAAGGTTAAGTTTCTTATATAAGGATACATAATAAGTTTGTTGTTGCTGTAAGTACCAGTGAGTTGATTCTGACTCATAGCGATCCTGTATAGGGTTTCCAAGGAGCAGCTGGTAGGCTTGAACTGCAGACCACCTGATTCACAGTTCAGTGCTGATTCTACAACACTACGCCAGGAGTCCAATTAATAAGTGTTGTTGCTGTTAAGAATCATTAAGTCAATTCCAACTCAAAGTGACCCTGTATAGGGTTTCCAAGGAGCAGGTGATGAGCTTGAACTGCTGACCATGTGGTTCAAATCGACCATGCAGTCTAGTGCTTTATCCTACAGCGCCACACCAGGACTCCAGTTAATAAGCTATTGTTGTTGTTGTTGTTAAGTGCCTTCCAGTCAGTTCGGACTCATAGCAACCCGGTATAGGGTTTCAAAGGAGCAACTGGTAAATTTGAACTGCTGACCTTACAGTTCAAACGACTTTGCGGTTCAGTATATTATCCCACAGCGCCACACCAGGACTCCAATAAATAAGTGGTGGTGGTTATGTGCTGTGGAGTCAGTTCCAACTCATAACGACCCTGTACAGGGTTTCCGAGGCTGTAAATCTTTACGGGAGCAGAAAGCCTTCTCTTTCTCCTACGGAACAGCTGGTAGTTTTGAACTGCTGATCTTGAGGTTTGTAGCCCGACTCGTAACCACTATGCTACCAGAGCTCCTTAATTAATAAGTAGCAGGGTCAAAAATTCACCCTCAGGCACGTCAGATTACAATGTTTGTGGCTCTCTCAACTCTGTTCTCTACATCATGATAATGGTCAAATACACAGAACTGATATAGCCAACCACCTTTCCACCATTTCTTATTTTGCTAAAGACTAGAAATGGTCACACCAATCAATACAGGGTTTCTATGTTTGAATCTTGAATGTCTAAACCCATAATTCTGGTCCAGGAAAGCAGAAATCCAAAGGAAATGATCAACTACCAACAAAGAGGAGAAGTTCTAATGCCAACCAGCCAGCCTGGGAGTCTGAACATCTTTGTCTCTCACTGATTTCTACAACAGAAACAAGGCCATGGTGGTGCTGTGGTTTAGAACTTGGGCTGCTAATAGCAGCCAAGGGAAAAAGATAAGGCTACCTGCTCCTGTAAAGATTTACATCCTCGGAAACCCTGTTCTGTTCCGAGTCTGAATCAACTCAGTGGCAGTGGGTTTGGTTTTTTGGCTGGTTATTCTAAGTCTTAGAAGACACCTCTGAAGCTTACACTATAAGTAAAAAAATGAGATAGCAAACAAACACAGCAGGTGGTGATAAGCACAATAGTGAAAACCATAGAGTCAGGTAAGGGCTAGAATGGCAGGGTGGTCAGAGAAGACCTCACTGATAAACTGACAATGAGCAGAGATCTCAAGGAAGTGAACGATGAAAGTGTGCAGGTATCTGGGAGGAAAGCATTTTAGGCAGAGGAAGTAACAAGTTCAATCTCCAAGGCAAGAGTGCTTGTTGTGATGGAAGAATAGCAACTGTGAGCAAGAGGGAGATGATAAAAGCAACGGCCAAAGGGGTAGTATGGAGCGAGATGATACAGGGCTCGTAAACTATTGTAAGGACTGCAAACTTTAATGAAATGGGAAGTCACTGATGAGTTTTGATCAGAGTCATAATAAACTGTTAATAAACTGTCACACACACAGCTAATTCCAATAGTTACATTCTGTGAACCACATAAGGCTGACTCTTAAAGGAAACAGAATGTAGCGACACAGGTCAGGCCTGGGTTTCCCCAGTGCTCCATTTAGCCCCACCCTATTTATCTGATACCTCCCTAACTTAATAACCCTCTGCTCCAGATAACATAATGTCCTTGCTCCAATCTGTTCCCTTCCCCAATTCCCTCCCACCTACAGGAATATTCCTTTGTACTCACCAGAGTCCAGTACAGTATCAAGCACCCAGTAAGTATGTAAAGAATTGCTGATAAACTGATTTCACGTCCCTTTTATATTACAGCACTTTCTCTATGGCAAAAGATATGAATGAGACCTGAAACCTATGCCACAGTTGACCATTAGCTAGATGTTTGGTACTAGGCAGGTTATTAGGCTGGAACTCTTTTCTTAAATTGTATAAGTCATTTATTTAGATTTAGCCAACATTTACTAAGCTCTTATTATTTGCCAGAGTATCTATTACTTGTATGCAATTGTTTTGTTTTTTCACTAAACCTTCACAACTCTGTGAATTCTAACAGGGTCACTATGAGTCAGAACCAATTCTACAGCATTTAACAACAACATCAAGCACCTCCATCACTCCTCAATTCTGAAACTTAATTATAATGAAATACCTCTAGTCACAGAATGATGCTGTGTAAACAAGGGAGTTTTTGCAATCTGCAAGTTTGGCTTAGAGAGGCTCTATCTATGCGCAAGATATAAATGGGACTGGGCTGACCACATACTGCTCATTTGTGTATTTGCCTGAATATACATAAGGCTGACTCTTAAAGGAAATACAATGTAATGACACAGGTCAGGCCTGGGTTTCCCAGTGTTCCATTTAGCCCCACCCTACATATCTGATACCTCCCTAAGGGTCAGCAGTTCGAAACTACCAGCTGTTACAAGGGAGAAAGATAAGGCGTTCTGCTCCCATAAAGACTTACAGCCTCGGAAACACTGTACAGGGTCTCTATGAGTCAGAGCCGACTCCAGGGCACATAACAACAACATACATATATATACAAGGAGCTCTGGTAGCGTAGTGGTTATGAATCAGGTTGTGAACCTTAAGATCAGCAGTTTCAAACTACCAGCAGTTCCGCGGGAGAACGATGAGACTTTCCGCTTCCATAAAGATTTACAGCTTTGGAAACCCTGTTACAGGGTTGCTATGGGTCAGAATCGACTCGACAGCACTTAACAACAACATACATATACACCTCTCCAGAAAACAGCTGAGTTAAATATATAACATAAAGGTGGTGCTGTTGTTCTGTGCCATCAAGTCTGCTCTGACACTGAACAACTCTATGCAACAACAGAATGAAACACAGCCCAGTCCTACGCCATCCTCATAATTGTTATATGTGAGTCCACTGTTGTAGCTACAGTGTCAATCCATCTCGTTGAGGGTCTTCCTCTTTTTTGATGACCCTCTACTTTACCAAGCATGATGATCTTTTCCAAGGACTGATCCCTCTTGATAACATCTCCAAAGTACCTGAGACAAAGTCTCACCATCCTCACTTACAAGGAACATTCTTGGCTGTACTTCTTCCAAGACAGATTTGATTTGTTTGTTCTTCTAGCAGTCCACGATACTTTCAATATGCTTCACCAGCTCCATAATTCAAAAGCATCAATTCTTCTCCAAAGTCTTCCTATTCATTGTCCAGTTTTCACATGTATATGAAGTGACTGAAAATACCATGGGTCAAGTGCACGTTAGTCCTCAAAGTGATGCCTTTGCTCTTTAATACTTTAAAGAGGTCTTTTGCAGCAGATTTGACCAAGCAATATATCCTTTGATTTCTTGATGTTGTTTCCAGGAGTACTGGTTATAGATCCAAGTAAAATTCAATCCTTGACAACTTCAATCTTTTCTGCATTTATCATGATGTTGTTTACTAGTCCAATTGTGAGGATTTTTGTTTCCTTTACACTGAGTTGTAATCCATACTGAAGGCTGTATTTTTTTTAACTTCAACACAAGTATCTCTTAGGATTCTTTCATCAAGCAAGGTTGTATCATCTGCATATAACATTCTGATGCCTTCCTCCAATTTTGATGCCACATTTTTCTTCATATAATCCAGCTTCTTGGATTATTTGCTGAGTGTACAGTACAGATTGAGTAAGTATGGTGAAAGACACATCCCTGAAACACACTTTTTCTCATTTTAAACCTCACAGTATCTCCTCTTGGTCTATATATAGGTTCCCCATGAGCACAAGT